ATGTAAACACCAAGTGACTGACAGACGCCACACACAGTGTGACCACAGGTACTCATCTCAGCCACGAGGCTCACCCAGGGAAACGCATCTGACAAAACCCAAACCAGAAGGGCTGGCCGATGCCACTGCTTCTTTCAGAATCAGGGTGGAAGCACCAGCGTCCCTAGGTCCCTCCGAGCACGCCAGCATCTCATAGACGCTCTTCTTTGTCCTTACAGCCTCTGGCTTTCTCCAAGGACAGACTACACCAGAGAAAAAGAGCAGCAACATAGTGTCCACATGATTGATTGAGCAAAAAAGTTACTAAAAAGCTGGAGGGGGGCAATTCAGAAAGAAAGGGAAAGAGAAAGCAGTCCATCTCCAGGCCGGCAGTGTGTTTTATTTTATAAATAGCATTCTAACTTGGAAAGGGTGCCCCTGGGGTAGAAATGACTCAACTCTATTTTTCAAGGCTCCCGGAATGCAGTCTACAATCCAGAGATAATTGTGCCATGATTTAGTCATAAAACACACACCACTGTGATACGTATTTATACCACACAGAGCATAAACAGGCAAATACACACTGTGTAAGTACTATGGAACAGCATACTAATATCTTACAAAACATCTGCTTTTAATTGTCTTTCAACGGTCAATATCTTTTACATATATGATGATAAACAAATATGCATATGCTATATAGCACATACAGTAAACATTACAAAACACTGATTTTACCATTATATGTGAAACATATAATGATTCATTTAAATTTATCACGTTGATGGGGCAGAACTTGGGCACAGTGGTTAAGACCTTGCTTGGGACGCCTATGTCCATATCGGCCTGGGTTCAAATCCAGGCTGCACTTTTCATTCCAGCTTCCTGCTGATGCAAGCTTCAGGAAGCTGCAGGTGCTGGCTCAAGAGGGTGAGTCCCTGGCACCCATGTGGGAGACTTACAGTGAGTTCTTTAAAAAAAAAAAAATGTATTTATTTATTTATTTGAAAGGCAGAGTTACAGAGAGGCAGAGGCAGAGAGAGAGAGAGATATAGAGAGAGGTGTTTTCCATCCTCTGGCTCACTCCCCAATTTGCTGCAAAGGCCAGAGCTATGCTGATCCAAAGCCAGGAGCCAGGAGCTTCTTCCAGGTCTCCCATGTGGGTGCAGTGGCCCAAGACTTGGGCATTTTCTACTGCTTTCCCAGGCCACAGCAAAGATTGGAAGTGGAGCAGCCAGGACTCGAACCGGTGCCCATATGGGATGCTGGCACTGCAGGCGGTAGTTTACCCACTACGCCACAGCGCCGGCCCCATGACCATTTTAAATACCAACAATATAGTTCACTGGAAAGAGAAAAATCAAAAGAAAGATCCGTGCCAAAGCACCACTTGGTTCCTCACTATCCACTCAGTGTCCGCTGCCCGAGACTGGGACAGGTGATCAGGATGTCTCATCTGCATTAAGGAGGGCTCACTTCAGGCAGGTCCCACAGCTGACTCTGAGACCATTCCAAAATGTCTTAGTGCTCATAATTTGAGAACTGCAGTGTGCTGTGATCCCCAAACACTCGTTCTGAAGGACAGCACAGGCCTGGCTCCTTGTGTGTTTGTTAAAGATGCAGTCTCATGGCCGGCGCCGCGGCTCACTAGGCTAATCCTTCGCCTAGCGGCGCCGGCACACCGGGTTCTAGTCCCGGTCAGGGTGCCGGATTCTGTCCCGGTTGCCCCTCTTCCAGGCCAGCCCTCTGCTGTGGCCAGGGAGTGCAGTGGAGGATGGCCCAGGTGCTTGGGCCCTGCACCCCATGGGAGACCAGGAAAAGCACCTGGCTCCTGGCTCCTGCCATCGGATCAGCGCGGTGCGCCGGTCGCAGCGCACCGGCCGCGGCGGCCATTGGAGGGTGAACCAACGGCAAAGGAAGACCTTTCTCTCTGTCTCTCTCTCTCACTGTCCACTCTGCCTGTCAAAAAAATAAAAAAAATAAAAAATAAATAAATAAAAAAAAAGATGCAGTCTCATGGCTCCTGAGTCACAGCTAACACTTTCTCTCAAGTAGCTCTGATTCAAAGTCCATCCTTAGCCACCTGCCAAGGGCCACCAGCACAGTCAACCTCACTGTGAATTCAAAGGGCCTCAAGACCAATTCTGAAAGCAAAAACCGAGTGCATCTTCTCCACAAGTCAGAAAACTCTAATACACTTCACAACATGTGCCAAGCCCTGTAACGGGAGGAGCCCAACAGAAGGTAACCCGGGGACACTGAGCCAATGAGCAGCAAAGCTCAGCGCACAGCGGCGGGGAAGTGTTCCGAGAGAGGGAGCAGAAGCACACCTCAGGAGGACATCGCAGTAGGTACAGGGGACTGAATATTTTCAGTGTCCACTTTGCTCTCTCCTCAGGCCCTTATACCAGGCTCTCCACAGCAAAAGGGCTACTGGCTAGAAACATCTACATACTCATCAGTGGGGTAAACGCTAAATAAACCACAGAACACATGTCGAGAAATACCATGGACAATACTTAACAAATGGAAGTACAAAAATGGACGGATCTGCAAGATAGGTTCTCAAGTGGAAGAAGCAAAACACAAAACAATTTGAGTAATGCTTTTCTTGCTTTAACTTCTTACTTTGAAAATTTGCAAGCATACAAAATCATAGAGCATGATGAGCCTTCATATACCCATAACGCAGCTTTAACCGTCAGAAGCATCTGGACAACTTGTTTTTTTTGTTGTTGTTGTTCCCAACCCTAATTCTTTTGAAGAAAATTCCATACATACTATTGTTTACGTTAGTATCCACAGCTGGACCTCGGAATGCACAGGGGATTGGCTGCAGGACTTCTCCCGAATACCACAATCTGCAGGTGCTCAGGCTCCTTTTAAAGTCGGTACAAAGTATTTGCCTCCGACCCACACACGTCCTCCCACATACTTTCAATCGTCTCTGGATTACTTATAATGCCCCACACAATGTGAGTACTACAGAAATAGTTGTTATGCTTATTGTTTAGGGAATAACGTCAAGAAAAAAAGTCTATATATTCAGTATGGATGTAATTTCTTCCCCCAGGCATTTCTGATTGGCAGTTGAATGAATTCATGGCTATGAAGGGCACACTGTGTTATACTATACTGTGTAGCTAACACTATAACATGTTAGCGTGCATCTCTAAAAGACAAGGGCTCTTTAAAAATATTGTCATTACAAATTCTTGAGTAAAGTTTTAAATGTATCATAAATGTGGGTATTTGCCTAAATTGTTTTCTGGAAGGACATACATGCATGCACACACACACATACACACACACACAAACACACGTAGTGGTCATGGCCGGGAAGAGTTATGAGGGGCAGGGGGGGCTTCACTGTTCCTTTAATGCCTTCCAGTTAATTCAGCACTTCCAACAGATTGCAAGTTAACTGCACAGGAATTACTGAGGCCACCGCGGACGGCACTGAAAGCAGGAGAGGGAGCTTGGCTGTGCGATGGCCGCGTCAGCAGGGTGGGCGTTTGGCCTGACAATTAAGACACTGCATCCCACCCTGGAGTGCCTACGCTCCAGTCCTGGCTCTGCTCTGAGCCCAGTTTCCTGTGAATGCGGACCCCGAGAGGCAGCACTGATGGCTTTAGGTCCCTACCACCTATGTGGGGCACCCACACCGAGTTCCCGGCTCTCAGCCTCAGCCACCTGTCTGCCGTGGGCAGAGGGGACTCTGTTTCTCTGCCCCACAAATAAAATATAAATAAATAAAATGCTAGAAAACATGCTTAGGAGTCATACCAATACTGGTAGGTGACAATGTTCACAAGCTATAGGATATGAATTTTCCAAATGGGTAAAAAGGAACGGAGAGCCGTGAACTGAGTGACATTACCGAACACAATTATGATTCAAATAATGTGCAGGCCTAGACATTTATGAGGAAAAGGACTCATCTCAATCTCTATTACCATATCCAGCGCAGGAAGATGATGGAATCGATCACTTAAAGTACTGCGATTTTAAAGGGCACTTCAAAAACACCTTTTTTTTTTTTTTTAAATAAAACAAGTTAACATCTGAACTCTCTCCTCCTCCTTTTCCTTATCTTTCATGCTTGCACTTTATCTGCCGTACAGGTTGGGAATATGGTCTTCCTTTTTTGGTGGTCACACCTGTCCTGTTTGTTCTATCTGCAGCACATTCAGACGGCCCTGGGATCCACGAGAGCAGGTGCTGGGCTACCTTTCTGAGTCCTGTTCACAGCGAGTTCAGATACAACAGCCTCATGATGGCCATCGTTCAATCTTACGATGATCAGGAGAGTGGGGACTAGGAAAAAAATGAGATGAAATACAGCTGCCTTTTAGGACCCCATTCACTTCTGTCACAATCTTAACCCCTCTGAAAAGCCAAAGATGTCACACATACAGGCAAAAGTACAGAGAGACCGGTTTCAATTAGACTGGCTGCAATCCTAGACGTCTAAACAGATTTCGCAAGATATGCCATTTTCTCACTTTCAAATATCAGTTGAACAGGCTAATAAAATACTCCCCAGTAAAGGGCAAAAGGAAAATGTCTTCATTAAACAGACACCTGATGCTTTAAATTTCCAACTTTTCAAGCATAACTAAGTTCTTCTGAAGATTTTTAAATAGTTGGCTCTCTTCTAATCAGTTTAAATCCTGCCCACTGCAACTGTATTATTTTTTCAATTTATTTAACGAAAGCCAGTATTCTTGGGTAGATACACTCCCCTAAGCACTGGCAGTGTAATTTCTACATAGACGGTGTTTTACTGTACTTAACACCAAGGGCATATTTCTTTTACAGGCACGTTCACTGGAACAAAACTAAGCCAAAGTATGATCAAGGACTCCAACACACATTGCCCAATCTCACCCCAAAAGGCTCACGTTCCTCTCTGCCTGGGAATGGCCATTTTTGCTCAGTCTAGAGATTCACTCCATCCAGAGCTACACACACCCAGTGAGAAGTGCCGCTGAGGCCACAGCCGGCCCGGGAGGTACCTGTTTCATCCGGGGAGCTGGGGGAGGCGCTGTCCTGCGACAAGGTGGTCCAGCTCGACTCCTCGTCGCTCGGCGCCAGGTTCTGGATCCGGTGGAGCGCGCAGTCAGTTTTGGCTCCCGTTTTAGGGTGATCCTTCTTGGTCTCTGGGCTGGAGGACACGGTGGCTACCTGGCCATCTTCAGGGCTGGTCTGGCGCTTGCTTGGTTTCTGCAGCAGCAACTCGCCATTCCCGGCGATGGTGGAGGCCTGGCCCTGGCCCGCCGGGGACTTCTCTTCCCCAGCCCCGGGGCAGTTGCCCAAGTTCTGCTCTAGCTCTCGGGCCGAGGTTTCCAGGTCTGCATAGTAATTTAGGAAGCTCTTAGTTCTCCTGGGCTGGGCGGGTAAAATCTCGCAGGCCGAGGACTCCTGCGGGGGGGCCTCTTTGCCCTCTAACTTCTCAGAAGTTATGTTGATGCTGGCCGTGGGGCTGATGTTCTTGTTGGGGTCCTGCTGCCCCTGGTCGGCAGCCTTGCGGAGCTGGTTCTCCCCATTCTTCACCAGCTTCATGTTGGCAGAGCCATTTCCCAGCAGGGGCTGGGCGGCTGGGTCCGAGAGGCCCATGGCCGCCTGGATGTTAGTCAGTGCATATTTCTTCCTGCATTTGGGAGGGGTGCTGTTCTTGGTTTCTGAGTGCTTGATTTCGGCGTTCAACAGTTCATTGTGGGAGGAGCGGAGGTTCAGGGTGTTGGGCGGTGTGGCTGCGCTGTTCCGATTTGCGACCTCTGCGGTTCCGCTGCTGGCCATAAACACGGCCAAGGTGCCAGCACCCGAGTCAGCTGGGGAGACAAGAGTTGCTCGTTAGACACCTGCCACGATTAAACCACTGAGCACACAGGACCAGTGCACATTTGCAGACAGAAAATGGCAAGAAGGGATGCTGTGGCTGCATCACAGTCTAAGAGAACCGACCCACAGGCCCCCCTACTTCACCCTTGCTTCCTGTGTGAAACAGGAACGAGTTCAGGTTTTAACGTGGAAACTCAAAAGTCATTGAAGAGAAAATCTAATTAGTCGGAGGGTCTACATTTTACTCAGAATAACACAGTGTCTCTCTTTTGAACTCAGAGAAAAGCGTTTTCCGCCGATAAGCTTGCAACACATGCTCTTGCCGAACAGTTCCCCCACACTGTCATTCTGCAGCTCCTCCAGGCATCAACAGCAACCTGCTCGCCAGCCCTCTGGGGCTCCCGCTTCCTTAATTAATCTGAAAGGTCACTGTTCCATCACGCTCCATATGTCCCAGGTAATTTTTCTCAACCGTGTTTAGAAACTGTGCTCTGACTGCCTGGAAAACCAAACCTCCATTAGTTTACTGATTTATTTATGAGTGTGTTGGACCTGGGCTTTGTATTTCTACTAGATGGAAATTCTGAAGAATGGCCCAATTCCTCGACAACACGCACACGAGGCACTAACAGGGTAGCACTGAGTCCTTGTCCACAGGCATGGTGGGGCCCCCGGTACATACAGACTCAGCTGCCTGCTGAGTGTCCTTGCAGAACTCCTAGGAAACCGTATGACAGTTGCATTTATCTCAAATATTGTTTGCTCCATAGGTGATTTATTCCATATGTCTCTTGCTAGGAAGAAAGGCAGGCTTCTCCTAGCAGAAGGGAACACAATTCATCAGGCAGGTTCCCTGAGGTTTCACATCTCCCTACGAGCAATGGCCTCTTTCTTAATGGATCCTTTGCCCTCCACAGACGCTCTGGTGATCTCTGTATCTGCAGTAGATGGACCAAAGCACACCTCCTGCCATTCTTGAAATTGCCTTCCAGCAAGTCCCTCATCCTCCCCCAGGAAAAACAGGGATCTTCGAGGAAGAGGGCAAGACTTTCCCCATCTTTGGGAGCTTCCAAGTATTTCTCTATGGTCCAATACTCAGAGTGGGCAATTTTAGAAAAGAGGCCCTCACTTGAGAGTCCTTGTGCTTCCACATTGCACATTTCTGGCAGAACAACCAGTGGCCCGCAAGACAGCACAGGGCCGTGGCCCAGGGTGGTTAGAGCTCATGACTTAGGACTCCTGCCCACCCAGCACCCCACCGCAGCTCTTGGATCTCACTTTACAGCAGCAGCAGAGAATTTTTAGTGTTTCTAACTTTTAAACAGTACTCTGAAAATTAACGTTTGAAAACCTGCCTCTTATTACTGTCGGGCTACTGCTCTATGGAAAACACATGGTTCCATTCATAATTCACCCTCACTCAAAAGCAGCATTTGATACAAGCAGGCTCCGCCCTGAACGTCCAGGACGCCCTCCGAGAGACACAGCCACTGCACAGACGCACCAGAGGCTGCTATTTTTAGATTCGGGTATTTACAGTGACAATTTGAGAAAGTGGAAATCTGCTGGCTTCCTCAAAGGCATGGTAAAAACATTTCTATGAGGTCGTTTCATGGCATCAGATATTGTATTTAGCAAGGTTATCAGGAAGAAATTTTTATTCACTTTGTTTATAACCAGAACCCTTTGCGGAAGGAATACTAGCAGAGTTTCGAGGTGATTTTAATGCTAAGGTAGCTTTTATATCCTGGATGTGCCAGCCACATTCTTACAAGCCTTTTGGATCCCATCACCCTCTCGGGGCCCTGCTAACTCCTCTTCTTGCTAAAAATCATGAGTGGCAGGAAGGAAAGAAGTGTAGCGAGGAGTCAGAATAGGACCTCTCACTCCCACCCCAGTGCAAATTGGGTGTACAAATGCAGCTCTGTGTAGGCTGATTTCACATGGCAAAGCCTGCACAGTTTAAGTTTGTGGTAGGTATTAAACGATGGTATCAGCTGGAGGCAAAATCAAAGGCTTAGTCCAACACGAAGACAGCCAGGCCAATCCCTTGAAGCATATGGTTATCTCCAGGAGTCAACACATCAACTGGGAAGTCCTCTGGGCCCAAAAGGGTCATGAAGCAGACAGAGGTTAGCAACATCCTAGGAAGATCAAGGCTGCAAGAGGGAGGCCCTGACAGTGAGAGGCGTGGTGAGGCTCAGAGAGACAAAGGCTTGCTAGCTGTCCCAGCTCCTTCCTGACAACATGGCCCAAGATCCAGCACACTGGCCTGCAGTTTCTCTGAACAGTGACAGTGCCTGGCTGACGTGTGGAACAGAGAGCCGAGCACAGGAATTAGCAACAGCCCCCCTCCCCACTTTGTGGCCAAGTGACAGAGCACAGGGCTGCCTGCAAAGGTCCCCAGATTCCCCACCTCTCCGCTTGGTGCCAGCGACAGAAGCAGCCTTGCTGTAGACACACACAGAGTGTGCAGATGAACAAGAAGGAACAAAGAACTTGGGCCTATGAGGGCTTAATTATGAAAAAAAAAATACATTCCTTGGGTTTAAGAGAAAGAAGGTCTATGTTTCTATTTAAACGAAAGAAAATCTTAATAATGTCTCTTTAACCCTTTTAATATTTGGCTGGCTTCTTCAGAATCAAAAAGTCTAAGAAATAAGACAAATTCTTTTTTTTTAAAAAAAAAGGTTTATTTTATTTATTTGAAAAACAGAGTTACAGAGAGATGTAGAGCCAGAAAGAGAGAAAAAAAAATCTTCCATCTACTGGTTCACTCCCCAAATAACCACAACAGCCAGAGCTGAGCCAATCTGAAGCCAGGAGCTTCTTCCAGGTCTCCCACGTGGGTGCAGTGGGCCAAGTACTTGAGCCATCTCCTACTGCTTTCCCAGGCCATAGCAGAGAGCTGGATCAGAGTGAGTGAGCAGCCGGGACTCAAACTGGTGCCAATATGGGATACTGGCACTGCAGGTGCCGGCTTTACCGGCTATGCCACAGTGCCACTGCTGCCCCCCCCCCCCCCAACACCTGGTATACACTTTTAAAAAGAATACATGCTTGGGCTCTACTCTCAAAGATACTCCCAAAAATTCTGATTCAATTTCTCCAGGACTGGGCCTAGACAGGGCATTAAAATGAAATTTGAGGGCTGGGTGCTTTGGTACAGTAGTTAAGCTGTTGCTTAGGGCAACCACATCCCATATCAGACTGCCAAGGTTCAAATCTTGCTCCACTTCTGATCCAGCTTCCAGCTAAGACACACCCTGGGAAGCAGCTGGCAGTGGCTCAAGTACTTGGGTCCCTACCATCCATGTGGGTGTCCTGGATTGCGTTCTGGGCTCCTTACTTTGGCCTGGCTATTTCAGACATTTGGGGAGTGAACCAGATAATGGAAAATCTCCCTCCCCCCCACCACTTGATCTGCCTTTCAAATGAGTAGATATATTTATATACATATGTATATATTTAAATATACTGTCCTTTAGGTGAGACTGCCTGCAGTAAGGAAGACATAGAGACGACCTGGAAGAAGACGAAGGTACACATCTGAATTAGGGACTTCAGAGGCAAGAGATCTTTCTCGTAACACGTTCTCAGCAGCCTTTGCTTCTAGCAAATCCCTACTCCCCCTCGAAGATACACCGTGGACGTCACCTCTTTCTGCAGGCTTCTCTCGCCCCTTCTGGGCAGGCTCTGGAGTCCCTTCATTACACTCCCACACCTTCATAAACCATGGCTATTACAGCATTGCTCACACCGCGTTGTTTAAAATTTTTAATCTGCATCAGTTTCCCACTGGATCCCTACCAACCAGCATAGCAGCCTAGCACACAGCAGGCACTCAATAAATGCTTGTAGAATAAATCCTTGAATACAATGAGAAAGGCAGGTGTTTTGTTAACATCTCATGAAATGTATACATACGATGTCTAGGTTGGTAAAATTTCTGAGTTTCTTATAAAAAACTGAAAGGAAACGACCATTGCTGCCCAAGTAGTACATCAACAGGAAGCTCATTTTTCTTTCCTGGGAAAAGCTAATGTTGTCCGCCGAAAGGGGTGATCAATGATAAGCTATCTGAACGTTTGCCCCATGTTACATCCGAGCAGGATTTTAAAACAAAATCCTTCAATATAACACCTAGACCAATTTATTTTGCTCTTCAGTCTCAGCCCAAGGAAACTTTGTTAAATTCTACGATGCCTTCCCAAAGAAGAAAAGGCTACTGAAAAGGGTGAACATCTGGCCTGCGGGCCGTGTAAGAGCTGCGAAATCATCGGGTCTGGCCCTGCTAAGGCAACCACAGGCAGCATTCGAAATTCAATACATTTATAGCAGGCTCATTTTTTGGTTGATAACATGGTCTGGCCTGCGAATGATGTCATAAATATCCAAGCGGCTCTTAGCAGGACAAGGGCTCCCCAGCCCTGACTTACAGTCAAGGTCCAAGTTTTGTGACACCGATCAGATGGGTCTACTCCTCTGTGAGACACGACTGCTCCCCAGCTGCAACCCCACGGGCACCAAGTTCTCCCCGCTGTGGTCTGAAGAGCACTGAGGCCCAGGCAGCCCACGCGGCCCACACGTGCTCCCCACCATGCCGTTCCGGGCCTCGCTCTGCTTCTCACTTCCTCATGGGGCGCACCTGTGTCATCAGCAACTATGGAGTGGATAAGAAGGAGAATGGGAAACGGAAACACTACATGGGTTGAGTGCCCCTTACCTGAAACGCTCGGGGCCAGGAGCATTTGGGATATTTTCCCCCAAATTTTAGAATATTCTCATATACATCATGAGATCTCTCGGGGGATGAGACCCCAGTCTACACACGAGGCTCGCCTAGGTTTTACTTATACCTTGTACTCATGGCCTGAAGCTAATTTTACATGAACATTCTTGGTGACCCTGCATCTGACTGTTAGCTATCACATGAGGTCAGGTGTGAAATTTTCCACCTGAGGTGTCATGTCAGCCTTGAAAAAGTTTC